ATAAATGAATAGAGGGTAGTCCCGGCGCATGGAATTCCACAGATAGTTTTTTCGCCAGGGGACGTCCAAATTCAGTAACATTGAAACCTTTTCCTTCAACAAGACTCGCTTCTGACTAATTAGAGGATGCTGAATTTGAATACTACAATCATGTTGCTATAATTTACATATTACTGATTAAAAAACAAGAATTTTTTGGTCTATTGGAAAAATTCTTTCATATTACAGTAGAATCCGCTTATAATAACATCGAAGGGAAATGAAAAACACGTCATTCCAAGCGGGCGTCATACAATGCATCATCATCATCATCATAAGGTCGTTAGTCCTATGACTGGTTAGACACGCACATCCACTCTTTCCTATCCTGAGCTAATCTTCGCATAATCTTAGAAAATAAACAACTTTCTATTTTGGTTAGTTATTTAGTTTAATAGAGAGAAAATCTACAAATTCTATATATTTATTAACAGAAAAAGAAAAAGAACGATGAATTGTAATACCAATATACACAAGAAGTCAGAAAAATGAGCGAAAAGGTTATTATTAATCATTTGGGTCACTATAACCGGGTATGATTTCTTGAGAATCAGTCATAATAAACGATATGTCACTTTAAACGAAGTCATTATATCCAAACTTTCCTATAGAGAATTTAATATGAAAACCAAACCTAACACTGCAATTACTTCATATTAAGCGGTTGGTCAATATAGGCGGAGTTATAATAAACGGATTCCACTGTATATGAAATCGGCGAGTCTACTGCATATTTCTTGAACTAGGCAAATTTTGGCCGAGTACGCGCAATATGCAATTACACGTCTTTTCAAAACCACGTTATACAAATGAAAATTCATTTCAAGGAAAGTACGGTCAATTTTAAGCTTCGTATTTAGTTTCTTCTAAAACGAACCCACCACGAGCAAATGAAAGTGTCGATAAATAAAACTGTGTTTAGCTCTCTAGCGGCCGTTAAGGTACCGATTGCGCCTAGGAAACGTTGCCGTGTTGGTTATTAAACGACCATGCGTGCGGTTTATGCATTTTTTATGTCACGTTTTCCAATTACTCTTCCTCGGCTCTAGCTGACTTGCGGACCGCCGATGTTGCTGCTTGCGACCGAGCTTTCAAAGAGCAACAGGTAGCGTGCACAAATGATTGTTTGACAATGCTATATTTTCCGACAATAGTACGTAGCTAGTAGGTGCCTGCAGTAGTTGCAGTTGAAATAACTGTAATCGTTTAATTTGTCCACATTGTACAACAAAATGGTCCCTATTCATATTAAAATTACTTATATTTTGTAACAACGAAAACGTTCACTACAATTGGATGTATTTCCTAGCTTACGTACCCATTTGAAGTAAAATTAATAATTTTATTTCTATTTAGTTTCTTGACAGTGGATGATAATTGTTCATTATTTTATTTACAGGCTTCAGCGACAAGAAGAAAGTAAAAGGATTTTCGTTTGGTGAGTAGTACAACATATTTTACCTATTAATAAAGGAAAAAAGGTTTCCTTTCCTTTGCAAGATTTACACTGCATAAAATATAATTTTTTTGCGCATCTTTCCACTTTTGAGTGCCGAGCCATCAAATATTCCTTTGAATAATAATCAATCAAAATATGTATTGATCTGTTTGTTTTTCAATACCTAGTGATATCTTTTAGGAAAATTGCTTTTGATGATTTTATAAATCGTATTGCTACGAACGAACTTAAGTTATAAAATCGCTGAATTCGATAATTTCAATCTTTCTCAACAATAATACAACTTATTTTGTTGATTTAATCATACGATTTTGATAAAATGGGTAAAGGATAATTAAATAGGTTTTAAAAATTTCAAATTACCAATATATTAACTATCGTGGACAGGTAACTACCAGAATTTGCAAAATTAAAATTAAATTAACAGGAAGGTATCTGGTGAATAATAGAGAGAAATGGGTGTTTTCAGAAAACACATTTTTAGTAGGTGATTGAAAGCCCTTTTAATTTTTCTTATTTTACATAAGAACACGTATTTGTGCTCATTTTTTACGACTCTGTCTGTAAATCGGCTGTAACTTAGTAGAACGCGTACCAACCAACCTAACCATGTAACTGTTCAATAAATTCGAATGCTCATAGTGACATTTTTTAAGACGACCCTACCTGGTCAGAATGACAATGCATTTCGAATGGCATTGCCGAAATAAAATCGATTTGTTATTATCAAATCGCTGCCCAGGTTTTTTACATTCTTCTTTTCGTGTCTGATAGTCGCCTTAAAATAATTGTCAACTTAAATTAATAAAAGCTTGCAATTATGAAAACTAACAATGTAAGCACATATACCGTCTACCGGAAGTGCTTTCTTGAAACAACATAATTTGCTACACAGTGTAGATATTTAGCATTACAGATGGTTTGAAGGACACAACTACATATATACTTACATATTAAAATTGAATGTAATAATAATTATCCATTACCAATTAACGATTACCACTCGAAGCTGTTAATTCATGTTAATTTATAGTAAACAGTTTAATTGGAAGGTATTTAATTTATGTTACCAGAATATCTTAGGCACTACTGCAGAACTAATTATACAAACATTTAATTCCGTTGCAATACGAGTGGTGCTGTATACATTACAAACACATTGAAGCCATTTCAATTGCAGGACATACTAAAACAAAAGGGGAGTTATAATGGTAAATGAATTCTGTAAAAAAATTTAAAAACTACTTGCCTATATTAACATGAATGTTGAGATAAAGGATTCATAAAACGAATACGACTCGTCAAAAGATTAGGGTGCTACATTGTTAAAGAAATTAATTTGCCTCAAAAAATAGTAAATAACTAGTTGCATCTGCCAAATTGGATTTGTTTGATTTGGTAATAGATGCTAAATATTAAAAAGTAACAACTAGTAGATGAAACTTTCGTTTTTCATCTTATTTTTAATAATAATAATAATTTTCCTTTGCTAATGTTTAATAGCTTCATCACATACAATTTTGTCTTCTACCATTTTTTTTGTGTAAAACTACCTTTTATCTCATTGTAACTATCGAAATATCTAATTGTGCGAGAAATTCTATTCAGTGAAATCATTATTCTGTTACAAAATCTCATAAATTCTGGCTAAAAAAGTATCTTTAGCGAATTTTGGATGGCTGGGTTTAAAAATGGGCAGGGTATACGGTTTAGATTCCGTACCCGGTGGATCCGGCACTTTTTTTTAGTATCCGGCCGGGTATATGACACTCGGCAGTGTCTAGTAATTCTACCAGAGAAAAAAGAAAAAACCAACACCAGCAATAATTATTTAATAAGTATGACAAAAATCTTATCGAATAAAAATTGGTAATTAAGATTGTATTGGAATAGGTCGTGTACCCTAACTTGTATTATTTATTGATTACTATACTAAATTTTTTTTTTCTACATAGTTCTTGGGTTTATTTTTTCTCGCAAATAAGTATACATCAGTATGACCCAACTGTCACAATTTCTGTCGCTTATCGATATACCAGGTTTTGATTAACAATAACTTATTAGTATGATTTTGTCCCCTGCAGACTTTTAGTATTTGTAAACATTATAGGCTAGTTTCAACGGTTTTAACTCAACCCTCTCGTTGAAAATTCAGCAACCAAGAATTAAAATTTCATTGATTGAGTGTTTAAACAACTTTTTGAACGGGATTTTATGTGGTGTAGGAAGTTGGTGGTATTTAATGGAAAACCCACCAGAACGAAGACATGAACCATTAATAACCTCAGTACACAGTTATCCCATGCCCGTCAAAATTCCCTATACGATGCATCTTTAGTTTGGGTTCCTTGGCACCCTATATTATGTTCCTACTTATATAAATAAATAAACAAATATCAAAACAATGGATTATATTAGTAGGTCTCAATTCTATACATTTTCAGTGGCGTTTTAAGGGTCAAAATTTTAAATTATCTTGGAACACCAATTTAAAATTGTTCCAACTGGCAAAAGTGAACATATAGAAAAAAAATGCGCATTCTTGTGCTCAATTCGGATGCACCCTTATTATTTTATGCTTCCCACTTCAAAATAAAAACTGTACTGTCCAGAAACATTGATGGTTTAGCCAACTTCTCGGTCTATAAAAAACATAGTAATTTAATGATCGTCTCATTTGTTATTAGTGGTCTCGCCTCACAACGACACAAGACTAATTTCGAATGCCCAAGAGTGCGACATAGTTGCTGGTGTATACGTATGTGTGTATGTTGCTAGAGAGGTAGCTAACCGTTAATAATTCTTTAATGAACCCACTGCTATTATACTAGTGGCAGCTAGGCTACGATTCTTTCGAAAAGTGACTGACCACGCACTCCCATCAACCATATAAACCTCTTTATAAAACAGCCCACGATTTTTGCTCCTCTGATTCTGCATCCACAGGCGTATCAAATGCCTACGTTTCTGATAATCGGAGCTTTAGGTTTGATCTTTCTTCCGGAATATAGACAAACCTTAGGCTAACATGTTCTGATAATAGAGGCAGGAGGTAATCACACCTTTAAAAAATTAATATACAAAAGGTAAAGGTGCGAAATCTGTCACCGAAAAAGTGCTCGATTATCAAGTGTTTGCTCTTTTCATTGTCGATGTCAAAAATACGTATTTCCATTGAAAAACTACTTGACCTTCAAATGACCAAAGCCCCGTTTTAACGGTGATAGTTCTCTCATGAAAGTACTCTCATGACAAGGACGTTGATAGTTCTGCAATGAATGTGAGTTGTTACCTCCACGATAACTATTGATAGTCGAATCATTAAAATCAATCGTAGAAATAGTGAAAAATCTAAGAGAATGTGGGTGGCATCGTGGGATCAGTAGAAGGAATACACCAGGTGCTCCTTAAAGACTAATCAGAGAACATGCAGTAGTAAGTCGGGCAAATTAAAGAGCATTAGAAGAAAATCCATTAATGATTAAAAAACTTTTTTCTTATTTTAATAATGTTTTCTGCCAAATTGTTATAAAAAATAAAAGGTCAACTTTTTAACCTATTTTATCTTAATCAACAAGTCGATTAAAAAAGAAATCGTCGCGCTAACTTCGCTGATAGTGAGTTCTTCTATTCTGTAATTGAATTTATATTTTTATTTCCTAACTTCAGTGCAGGTAAATTTAACTTCAAATCTTGTACATACACTTATTTTCTTCTACCCTAATAGATTCTATTGTTTCCTCTATTACAAAAAAAATCATCTTCACTTATACTTGTATGCATCTCTCACTTAATCAATTCAATTCCTTGATATTCATTTTTAAGTACTTCGATAAATTCATCTTTACTGTAGATATATTTCAATTCGAAATTTTTCCGGCTATTACTACGAATTCTGCTTCACAGTAAAAGATACTGTCGCAGGAGTATGACTATCAGAGATTGTTTATAACAGGTTTTGTGAAGGTTTCTGTCGTGATAGCAACTATCACCGCAAAAACGAGGCTTATACTTTATTGCTTTCTCCGAAATAATGATAACCAATCAAGTTGTTTCATGTTTCTTTGCATCAACGCTGGACGAGGTTTTATTACTTCAATACATTAACTGCAATTGGATGAAAATAAAATCAAAAAGTAATGACAGTCATTTAGATATCCTTTAAACAATATACAATTATTTAAAATTGATTTTGGCTAAATTCCAATTTTGATAAATTGTTTCCTCCCGATATTCTTTTATCTGAAATAAAATGTCCTTCATGGTCGCAGCAGGCAGTAAAAGCGATAAAATTGCAGAGGATCGAACGAAGGCGTAAAATGAAAAAAAAATTAATTATCTTTTGAGCCTACGAAATCAATAAATTACATTTCAATTAAATATTACTTATTTCATACGCAGGGATTTGTGGAGCGATTGGTCACATTGTCAATACGATTGTCTTCAAGGAATTGGATAAGTTAACACCCACGGCAGTCAGTACCTACGGCATTTGTTACACCGTCGATATTACAAACGTTACTAATTTTTTAAATTGATGTGCGTTTTGTTTTCGTTAACATAAAATAATGTGTCGATTGTCTTCCAATTTGATTTGATTAAAATCTGCTACCTTTGCAGCCATTTTTATTTTAGTCGCGGTTTAATGGATTTTCGAAGATATATTGCTGTTACCACATTAATTAGATTGGCGTTATCTTCACTATTCATCTGTCATTGTCGTCTTGCTGTAAATATTTTAAACGTGACATTTTAACTGAATATGCATGTATTCACTAAAAACAATTGCTGTCGCACTTTTAATGCCTGGTGGTCCTTCAAAAACATACTACAACCAGCGATATATGAACATCATCTGTAGGAGGATTCAATAATATTCAACAAGAACCTTTTCTAGTAAGGATGTTGACTTATGGAATTGTACCTATTGCCTTATTGGATCCCACAATAAGTAACAATTTTCTACAAGCGTCTGTAGC